CTTCTCCTTTACATCCCTTATTCACCAGTTAAGGACTTTCTTTTCTCCCTACAGAGAAGAATTATGCAATTTGGGAGTCTTTTAGATAGAGCCACTGAAGAGGCACCCCAATTGCCTCACCCTGTGTCCCTATTCAGCATGGAAGAAGCCAGAGCAGTCTGCATCCTGATTCCCTATTGGCAATTTGGGTAACCCCTTCAGAGGATGGTGTGATAAGAATAGGAGGTAGGAATTGGCTATGCAGTTAGGGTAAAAAGACCCCAAAGAAATGTAGCCAGTTTCTTGGCTAAAAGTCAAAATGTCCTTGGGCCTGTTCGCAACATACTCTGTTCCAAAGGCCAAGAATATCAAAAGTGTTTGGGAGCTTGTATCTAATCCTTAAAAGATTTCAGGGTTACTTCTTCAAAGGGAGGGATATTGAAGGGGAGGGAGTGGGCATGGGTTTGATCAAAACACCTTATATGCATGCATGAAATTCTCAATAAAGTTTTTGTAAAAATTTAAAAAAAAAAGACCTAAAGAAAGGCAGGGCACTTTTATCAGCTGGTCTACACTCTGAGGCCAGACTCAAGTGGATGGATCAGAGTGTAAGAAAGACATTGAAACAATGAACACAGGCAACTGCCTTATTTTGGTGCAGAGTATTATAGGAAACACTATAAACATCAGACATAGTGGTAAAGGGTAAGAGAATGCTACAATCACCATTCATATATTTATCATGTTTCTGTGGACCCTAGATGTTGTGGGGGAACATTGACAGGTAGGTCAAAACAAAGAAAAAGGAAAGTTTACTATGATTTATTTATTACAAAGCATGTGGTTACCTACAAAGGAAATGTGAAATGATTCAATAAATCATTAAAAATGTATGAGTCTTTAACAGCTTGCTACACATAAATTTATGAACAAAGAAATCAATCAATTGAAGTTCCATACCACAACTACTAAAAGTATGAAAATATTTCCTAGAAAGATATATCTTTCAATAGTAATTTCAACATCTTTCAATACCTAGATATGTAGCTAGAGTTAGTAAGAAAAATACTGAAAAAAATCTTCATTAAGAAAATAAAAAATAACTGAAAACTATAAAAGAAAAATATATTTAGTAGATTGGAAAACTCATCATCATTTTCAAAATTGACAAGGGCTGGAGGTGGTTCAGCAGTCAAAAACACTTGCTGTTCTTCCAGAAGACCCGGCTTTGATTCCCAGCACCTACATGGTGGCTAACAACCATCTGTAACTCCAGTTCCAGTCGATATGATGCCATCTTCTGGTCTCTTCAGGCACTGCATGCACATGGTGTACTTACATACATGCAGGCAAAACACTAATACACATAATATAAAAATATTAAAGTATATTTAAAAATAAAATACAAAATTAGACAAACATTTGGCATCAGTTACAGGGGATGTGGGCACTGGAGGGGTGCCAGGCAGGCCTAGGGCATGGAAACATAGACGGTAGGCACTTAAGAACTGTCTGTCATCAGCAAGAGGGGAAATAGCAACAGCCAGGAAGAGACATGAGCTATTGTTTCAAGCTATCACGGTGTGCTCTATTGTTTACTGGGCTTCTTTCACAAACATTTCAAGAATTCAGCAGTGATTTCAGAGGACTCAACCCCAAGTCTAGGACTCTTCTGAGCATGGCACCTTGCACAACTACAGCATTTGCACACCCGTAAATAATCTTGGCAGACATTCAAATCATACAACCACTGAGAGTGATCTTAGTGCATTAGGGGTATGTATGTGGCAGCTGGTGGTGGGATGCATGGTGTGTTCTCTAGGTTTTTCTTCTTTAATATTTTAGTTATTTTTATTTTATTTGATGTGTATGAGTGTATTCCCTGCATGCATGTAAGTGCACCCGTGATGTGCAATGCCATGGAGACCAGAAGAGGGCATCAAATTCCTTTTGGAACTAGAGTTCTGAATGGTTGTCAGCCACCATGTGGGTGCTGGGATTCGAACCTGGGTCCCCTGAAAGAGCAGCCAGTGCTCTTAACTGCTGAACCATCTCTCCAGCCTCCTGTAGACTTTTCTGCCTGTCTTGACTGGCACACAGAAACCCTTAGGGCATTTTCAAATCTTTGTTTTGACAGCACAATTACAAGTTTCTGACTGGCAGGGTTTTGGATAATACTGAATAGACTTTAAAACAAAATTGCTTCACGAGCACATGTAATGGGCTCCAAATAAACTGGCCAGGTTTATGACTTGCCCACAACCAAGTGTGGAAGTCTGAGCAAGTCTTTTAATCAATCTCTTAACTTCCTTTTTCTTATGTGCAAAACAGAAGTCAACAGTACCTACATTATAGTATTATTCAAATTAAATGAGAAAGTATAATTGCATAAGAAAATGTGACAAAATATAAACCATCATGCTAGTTGAAAATATTTACAATTGCTATCTTACTGACTTGAATGCATCAATATAGATGATTTCCATATGTATTTATGCTTCAATTGTGTTTTCCACAAAATTCAGATAGCATAACATTTGTGAGTAATAAAAGTAAGTTTTGAATAAACAGTGTTCATTGCTTATTAAGAGTTCATTGTTCATTAAGAATTAGTGTAAAATATACTGGTTGTGGAGCTTGAAGTCAAATGAATCTGAGTTCAGTGCTTCTAAGGTAAACACGTGGCAAGCTGGAATATATCCCTAACTGCAGTGCCATTTCTGCTTAGATTACCCTTTTTACATAAAGCTCACAGCTGCTGAGGAAACCTGGAAACGTGCAAGGGTGATGCGTCTTCTTGAAAACACTAGAGAGCGGTGGGCCAGTGTGAGAAATCAGGGTGACAGCTGGAAACATACTTCTGTCACAAGCTGTCTTTGGGCTGCATGTGTATGTTTGAGGTTGAGGTCAAAGGTTTGTTAGCTAAGTGTTAGGTTGTATTTTTGTTTGACCTGTTTCCTGTTAATTAAGCACCAAGAACTGTGGTGGAGGGCTTTTAATGTTGCTTTAATGATATAATCTTGTCTCTTAAAATGCCTCCTGTCAATAGCTAAGGTTTCAGGAGAAAGTTTCCTTAAGTTTAGTCTTACCATGTGAATGAAGCCAGAGAACAGGGCCTTGAATTTTCATTTTTCAAAAAATAATTAATATGATATTTTAGTATTTCTGGTTTTTAAAGACTATTTCCAGCATCTCCCCATATCTTTTTTTCTGCTATAGAGATTACTACAGAAAAACACTATGAAAGTCAAATGATTAATAATTAAAAATGTATTGGAGGACAGGTTTAGGACCAGAATTATGATTCCTGGAGTACTTATGCTAAAAATTGCACTGTTAGTAATGTGTAGAATTTACATATTTTTATGAAAACCTTTAATATACCTACATAATCATTATTATTTGGCAATATAAAATGATATATCACAATGTATAATAATTTAATATCTTAAAATTTTTATTACATCCACCCATAAGTAACTCTTATCATATAACTAGGTATATATAATATGTATTGCAGTATATATTGCTTATATTGATTTAGCTATTTGATATTTCCTGTAACTGTTACAACCATTCATTATAAGAGCTTTTCCTTTAGACAGAATTTTAATCACGTAAGTAAAGTGTTTAGGAAATACGAATCAACGTGTGCAATGATATAGTTCCCTTTGTAGCCATGAAATATGATTGCAGAAATGGTAGGTAATCCATAGAATGAACTATAAGTATCTAAACATACATCCTGAGTTGTATGTCTATTACTTTTTTACAAAAAATTGCAGTTTGGTAACAGTGACTAATATCTAGCTTCTATCTGTACAAGAAAATTGAAAAAGACTATGCAATATCTATCAAATAGTTGTTTAGCTGTAGAGATTTTATTTGCTAAGAAACAATAAATATTCATTATTTCCCCCTGGAAACAGTACTTTCACATTTATTTTTAATCTAGTGGTCCAAGGACTTGGATACATTTAGGACAGAGACATTTCAATGGTCTGTACTTGAAGATAAATGACAGACATGCTTTGATCACATACTCAGATTCTTTCTACATGAAGCAGAGAAATCCTCTGCATTTTGGCCACTTTGAGAATTTGGAAAAATTATTTAAATTTCTAAACTTCACCTTTCTTATCCTATATTACTATTTTAGAAATGCGTTTTCTATCTTATCACTAGAAGTTTATCAGCAGATTTATTAAAGTTCAAGAGAAGATAAAAATAAATGAAAGATTACTTTATTTAGGTCAGGACAGCTTGTTTCACAAATTGTTAAATCGGTGACCTCCTAGGGATCCCACCTTGACCATCCACATCCTTGTCTAATCCACTCCCACACTGCTCTGAGATAGGCCACATGACTTGCTTTGTTCAATGCAACTCATATTCATAAAGTGACAGAAGGACACACTTGATAAATACCTGTGGATTTAGTCTTAGCCACTAGGAGTTCAGCTGTGATCATGTGAGAGACCCATTGTCAACTGCTGAAGGGGACACCACAGGACTCTTCCATGTCAGCCAACAGTGCTTGCTAAATATCGCCTTGGACCATCCAGCCTCAGTAGAGCCACCAGATATTAGTGTAGATACAGAAGTGAACTTAGGCAAGTGTCATAACAATCTTTTCATTGATCTAAGACCAGTGTATAAAGCTGTGATCAAATAAGTGGCTAACAGATTATGCTTTTAAACCAGCGTTTTTGGACTGATTTGTTACATGCAATGATATTTAATGTGTTTAGTTGTGAGTTAAATCTTTTATACTTTTGATATTAAAATCAACAAAAGATATTAACCTTTGATATGTCATATAAATTAAAAGGTATATCACTTTCTAATAGATGAGAAAAAGAGCAAAAACAGAATGTAAGTAGAACTGCAAATGCAAATTGTCCTTGTGAGAATTTTTTTTTTTTGGATGGCTAGCTTACCACTTTCTTAGTATAGTGGAAAACAAGATAGACAGGTAATTTGATCAATTAGACACATATTCTTGTAGTTGGATAACTTACTGAAACATGATTTTCTATGAAGCATGTGCTGGAACGTCTTGCACAAAGATTCTTCACTTTGTGTAGTGCTCTGACACGTACATTGCACTTGAAGGACAGTCCCAAAAGTTCCTAGGTAGGCTGCTCTGCAGTTATCACTCCCTGAACACTCGAGGTCTTGCTTGCCTAGCATGCTAATGCAGGTCTCATCTTCATGACACTGCACAGTAACACGAGGCCAGCATTCTGACTGAAATGTTAGATAGTGCTTCCTAGGAAAAGAACGAAGAACTGAATTAGTCTGCGAGTAGTGATATTTTACATTAACAAGTGATGATCACTCACATCATGAAACACTGGCACAGCACAAAATGAGTACCGAGTTCTAGTACATAATTAGAAACTAAGTTGCCCATTCAAATATGGCAGTAGGGAGTGTGGAATAAAACAACAGGGGAATCTGGCAAACTGCTGTCCATTTGTGATGAAAGACAGAGGCTGAGTTTGAATTTCCCTGGACAGATTTTCCTCAGTACTAACTACCTCAATGGGTAGTGATCTGCAGTATGAACTAATAGAGTTTCATGGCTAACATTTGGACATTGTCACCCTCCAAGGAAATTCAAATAAGGCACTTGCCAATCCAACTTTCCTACACAATGGGAGGTGTTTGATTCTGTTTCCCAATTCTGAACTATACAGTTAGAATTTATAAAATTGTTTGAGGTGTATTGATAGCAAGAGCTAAAGCTGGGCATGTAGCTTAGTGGCAGAGGCTAGCAAGTACAAGGTCTTGAGTTTGTTTCCAAACCAAGCAACAAACAAAAAATCCAGTACTTGAGAATTTGTATTTAGTTTTCAATCAAGATAATCTTTTAGAACTACACCCATTCATAGTGTTTCTCACTTTACATTTGATTCTGGCTATAATAAGTTCATGTAAAACTCAGGATAATGTTCTGTGGATATCATTTGTGAACCTGCTGAAGCACAAAGGCATTTGTATCAATATAACTGATAATACTAATCTTTCAACTTGAAATTCGTCACCTAAAATTGTATGCCTTGTGAATAAGTTATTATTACATGTGCATGGATGACACTTTGTGAGCTCCTTTGCCTAGAACTTTGCTACTAAAGAGTCAGAGACACTTTATTTTCAAAAATATCATATGTGATTAATGCTAAAAGATCAGATTTTAATGGAGAACAATGGAGCAACTAATTAGCACATATTCTATTAAAATTTTCCTAAAAATGTAATTCTGGGTCCATAATTACAGCTACATTCCTTTAATTAATGCAATTAAGGATTATATGTCAAATATTATCTAAATATATGTTGGAACTATTGATTGCTATTTAGAGGATTGATATAGAATAAGTTTGCACTTAGATGTCACTTATTATTTTTTAATTGTCACATTTATACCTATAGAAATCTACCACTTTGTAAGGTAATTTAAAATATATTTAAAAAAATAAGGAGTTTGAATGGAGATACCCTACATGGGTAGATAATGCTTCACTCAGAAGACATGTGGATCATTAAATAAAAATCTCAGTGCCAGGTGTGGGATACCTCCCTATTAATTATTGATCAGGGTGGTCCCAGAGGCCCTCAGCAACACAGGCTATTCTAATTGTTCTTAGTTGCCTATAGCTAGATGGTAAGACATTAATTGCTGAAGACACAACATAGTTTGGTTGCAGGACATAGAGAATTAATCTTAAACTGCCTGGGAAACTTCCTTCCTGCTGGCAAGTTTTTATATTGACAAGGGGTGCTATACAGGTTGCAGGGGAGAATGCTAGAATGCAGAATGCTACAATATTGACCTACCAAGCATGACGTGGCTACTACCACCAGAGTGGCATGCCCGTTATAGAGATAACCAACTACTTTCTGATTGGATTTGAGGCCTGCTCCACAGGAGGGAATTTTTGCTTCATACTGTCAACTTGGTCAAAAGCCCATGATTAGAGAGGTCACAGACCTCGAGGGTAATCCTATTTGTTTTCTGTTACTGTGATAAAATGCTGACCAAAACCAACTTGGGGAGGAAATGCTTTATTTGGCTTACAAGTTACAGTCCATTATGGAGGGAAGTCAAGGGAGGCACTTAAGGCCTGGAAGCAGGAACTGAAGCAGGACCTGAAGGCCTGGAAGGAGGAACCTGGAAGTAGGAACTGAAGCAGAGAGCATGGAGGAATGCTGTTTATTAACTTGCTTCCCCTGGTGTCGTCAGCTACCTTTCTTATAAGAGCCCAGGCATGGCACTACCCCCACAGTGGGCCAGGACCACGTCCATCAAGTAGCATGTCCACAGGCCAATCTGATGGAGGAAATTTCTCAGTTGAGATTCCTTCTTTCCTGGTGTGTCAAGTTGATAAACAACACAGCCATCACAGAGGGGAAACCCACTACTGCTGTCTTGCTAAATAGACATGCTGTTAAACTGCCTTCTAATTATTAATATTTATACACATAGATTAGTGCTTCTTTCAACCTTGATCAGAGAACTTTCTTTTTGCAATGGGCCACAGTCGATGCAGAGACTCATAAGTGCTGAAAATAAGGGAGTGCTGATTCCCTGGCCCGCTTGCCCCCCCGGTCCTATCTCCAAGGCTCAGGGACCATTGTGGAAGAGGAGGGAGGTGGTAGAGAAGATGTAGAGTTGGAGGATGGGAGGTATGCTATGAAATACCATCTTCTGGTTGTGACTATTGTATCCGTGAACTTGCAACAGCTATGGTTACCTGCACAAGCCTGCACAAGATCAAACTGGTCAACATTCTAGCATGGAATGGGAGAAATCCATGAGGCTTGAGCCCTAGCTGATGAGCTATTGGCCTTTAAGACATTTTCTTTCAGGGATATGACTGCTAGTAGGTTACCCATGCCACGGTCGATGATGTCACATCCATGCACATACAGGCAGTATTAACTAGACTCAGTGGTTATTTAAAAAACAAAAACAAAAACAAATCCAGAAAGAAAGAAAAATAAGACATGATGGAAGGACGGGAAAGCACTGAGTAGGCTATGAGCAGAAAGGCAGCTTAGCTGGATATGAACAAGATACACTGTGTGCATCTATGAGATTTTCAAGGAACAAATTTTCAAGAAGACAAAAAATATGTATTTTTTAAATTGTATGATTTAGCTACTTATAAAATTATTTCATTCAGGAAATAAGCAGTGAAATTTTGACAAAATAATGGACTTAAGAGATTTAACTAAAATAAAAATATACTAGGTACCTAGATAGTTAAAATTGATAATTTTAAATATTATAATTTATGATGTTAGAAATTTTCTATTTTAATTGTAGCCAACATTTTTAGATTAAATACATTTATTGTGTTCAGTAATGTTTTAATGCACAGTGTTCTTGCTTATTTTCTTAATATTTTCTAATTTTTAATTTTGGCTGATGGTTCAAGTAATGAAGTATTTAAAAAGCTATTTTATAAAAAGAAATTGAGGTCTTCCCATGCTTGGACTAGGCCAGAAAATGCTACTGGGGAGCACCCAACGAGCTTGCTGCAGCCACGAAGATGAGGAGACCTTCTTAGGAGAAGGAAAACAGAAGAAAGGTATCTGAGCTATGAGGGCCTAACAAATGCTCCAAATGTAGCATTGCCTAAGTAGTCAGGCAGTTGGTGACAAACATCTACCTGACAGGAAAACTGGTGATCCTTGTACTGTCATGGCAAAATATTTCATGACAATTTCACCTGCTGGGGCCTGGAGAGGTGGTTCAGTGGTAAAGAACACTGGCTGCTGTAGAACAGAACCGTGTTCGTTCCATTCCCAGCACCCACATGGTGGTTAACAGCCATCCGAACTCCGGTTCTAGGGGATCTGACACCCTTTTCTGACCTCTGTAAGCACTGCATGCACAGATGTACTTACATCCATGCAGGCAAAACACCCTACACATAAATAAAAATTAATAAACTAATAAGATCTTTTAAAAAGAAATTGAGTATTTTGTTTTTATTTTTACCGTAGATTTGAGGTTACATTGAAAAAAATGTAAGAGAATGCCATGCGTAAAATTTCCACGCATGAAAGGTATTGTTTGTCCCTGTAATCTAATATAAGGCCATGCTTTGTAAAGACATCAAATGATTTAACATAGTCAATTTAAACATGGTTAGAAGGGCTGGAGAGATGGTTCAGCAGTTAAGGGCACTGGTTACACTTGCAGACGATTCAGGTTGGGTTTCCAACACCCACATGTTCACACCTCCAGTTCCAGGGGATCTGGCGCCCTCTTCTGGCCTTCATGGGCATTGCATGCACATTCTCTGTATATGTGTGCAGACAGAATACTCATACACACATACACACAACATAAAAATAATTTTTTTCCTAACTAGTTAGAACTTTTTCTAAGAAAATACTCTTTTGCTGCTTTTTTTTACCTTTGATATTATATAAGTTTCTAGAAATTCATACAATTATAAAATTGTTAAAATATAATCTGAACTGCTAGTGGATATTAATATTGGAAAGAATCATTGGAGAGGGGCTTTCTATTGCCTATTTTGAACTTTTCAAAATAACATTTTGCCAAATTATGCTATAAATTCAGGAATCTAAAGCAGGAATAAAAATAGTATGTTAAAACAAAATTCACGCTTCAGGTCAAAAATGAGAAAAGGAGTCTGGGGTTGGGGTAAACTTGATAAAAGGGGCTTCCTTTTCAACGTTGAATTACAGTATCAGTAATTTACTGTAAAAGCTGCTAATCTCCCTAACACAAAATTCACTTGAGGGAAATGATAGGATTTTTAAAAATATTGACTATTGATAAATATTGAGACATAACAGCCCTTAACTGTGAACCAATCTAAGAAAGACAGAAATGATGTAGGAAGATATGTACATTAAAATACAAATTAAGCACAGCTTTCTAAGGTACATGGCAAGGATGAAGCATCTTTTGAGTGCTTATTCCATTTCAGACCTGCATCTAATACTTTGAAGAGGTAGGTAAACCTCAGAGTCCTTGTTGAGGAAAATCACTAAGTCTAATCAAGAAGATGTTGATAACAAGAAAATTCTCTTAGTAAACATGGCATTCTAAGTGGAAAGGATGTCAGTATTGGATTATTCTGCTAAGATCTCATAATGTGTGTTATTGGGAAGTGTCTTTTTTATTGACATTGTTTGTAAGATCTGGAACTATTTTGCAAGTCGGAATGCTTGTGACTAAGACAACGTACATGTGAAAGACTAAATGAAAGCTTACCAAGAATCATCAGGGGGTTGACAACAACAAATCTAAAATTCTAGATAAATCACAAGTCTTTCTCTGAGCTCTCACCTATATATTACGTGCATCTAATACTTTGAAGAGGTAGGTAAACCTCAGAGTTTGATTATTAAACTATGATTTTGATTATTAAATGTATTTGATATATGTTAAGTTTTACTAATTTAAAGAGAATGAAATTCAATAGTCCTTGATAGATGGCACTAGGGAAATAAAACGAAACAAGGGAATTATTCCAAAAAAGAAATAAACCAGGTGATGCACCCCTTTAATACCAGCACTCAAGAGGTAGAAGCAAGCAGATTTCTGTGACTGGGAGGTCAGCATGGTTTACAAAGTGAGTTCCAGGACAGGCAGTGTTACACAGTGAAACCCAGCCTAAAAAGAAGACAGAAATGAGAGAGGGGGGAGGAGAGAGAGAGAGAGAGAGAGAGAGAGAGAGAGAGAGAGAGAGAGAGAAAGAGAGAGAGAATCTTTCCACAAAAAGCCTGTCATCCTAGGACCTGAGTACCTGAAGCAGAAGGACCTAGATTGAGGTCAGTGAGGAGTACATACAGAAACTCCGCCTCAAAACAAAACAAAAAATTTTAAAGTTATATAAATGAATGCTGGTGTTAAATAAAACTTCAATATGATGCAATGTTAGAAACAGGTTTGTTTCGTTCACTTTATTTAATATCTGATTAATTCCTGCATTTCTTACTTCTATTCAAAATTGTTTACCAGCCATATATTTATTTCTGGCCTTTTAAAAGACAACAACACCTTGAGAGTGTGTGTTAATGAAGACCTCAGTGGCAAAGGAGACCTAGGGATGCTGAACTAGTCATGCTTCCTGAGCAGGACTGCTGCATGCACAGTTTGGTCTCAGCTGGCAGCCAGAATGGAAGCTTTAACAAAGGAACTGGGGCCATTCACAAGCTGTTCACAATCTGCAAATGCCTCTCAGTTTCACTCAGATTAAAAGCCATCTTTCCAGCCCTGGATCAGACTAATTCTTCATTCAGGTATAACTGTAATGTGGCTTAGAAATATCACCCTTCTCATTTGTCTTGTTTCAGTAGAGTAAGAAGCAGGGAAGACATTTTTGTCCCTCAATGATGCCTAGATATCAGATGTTCCAACATGTATTTTTTGAGTGAACAAGGAAGTTACTAGCATTACTTCCCCAACAGCACAGTGTGAGCATGGGAAGAAGGGAAAAAGAACACATTTCCTACATTATTGGAACATGTGTGCTGTAGATGGACAAGCCATGCTCAAACTACCTTTTTCTTTGTAATCCACAGCCTGAGAAAGAAAGAATTTATTTTGAAATTTGAAGAGTCATCTTGACAAAATTAACGACTATGTACAATCACACTAGGTCATGTGGGGTGGCTCAGGCCTGTAATCCCAGCACTCCAGAAGCTGAGGTAGGAGTATTGTAGTTTCTAAGCCAACCTAGTCTATACAAACAAATAAAAACAAACAACAGCAACCAAATACCTTTAAACACACACACATACACATACACTCATGAAACACTAAATAAATAAATGTAACATTTATTTTTAAAAACCAATGTATAAACTTGAACTCTTTTTTTTTGTTTGTTTTTGGATTTTGGTTGTTGTTGTTGTTTTTTTTGGTCTTTTTTGAGACAGGGTCTCCTTGTAGCCCCAGCTGGCCTGGAACTCACTATGTAGACCAGGCTGGCCTTGAACTCCCAAGTGCTGGGATTAAAGGTGTGTGCCACCACACCTGGCCAGAAACTTGAACTCTTATCTAATTCGTGTTTCAACTTATTATGTAAATTTAATAGTACTGTTTAATGGTCATCAACTCTCAGCATACTGAATTTCTTTACTCTAAGAACTTCCTCTGCATTTTACATATGAATTTCAAAAAGGATACAACACATGTATACAAATTCAAAATGAATGTTTTCCTGGCTTTATTTACACCATTTGGGTGGATGGTGGGAATGTTTGCTAACGTAATGGAATCAAGTGTTAGGACTGGACTGTAACAAATAAGGTGCCACAGTAAGAAGGTAAGGTAGGCATGTTTCTCCTCACCTGCATGATTCATCACGTCTGCAACTATGGATTACACTGAGGCAAGTAGGGGGCGGAACCACGTTCAGTGCACATGGCTTGCTGTGAAGAGCTTCTTTGGACTGCTGACAAAGTATATCAGATTGAGCACAGTCACAAAACGCCAACATCTGGGCGATGTTAAAAGGCATGTTTTGATAGAAGAACCGTATGGCCGTTTGGCAGTGTTTCACATCGCACAGATTTCCCTTTGCTGAGCATGCTTTGAGGTAAAGAGCCAACTGTGCATTACAAACCATATCCCCTACACAGGCCTCTGTCACTTCCAAACAGGATTTGATCCCTTTGAATCCTGAAAGCAACAACACACCAAGTCATTGAAAAACAAACACAAAGTTGTACATGCAGAGCCTGCAAAACACTGAGAAGACTACAAGCAGGATAGAAAGTTGTACCAGTGTGCTATGATTAGGAACCAGTACTTTCTTTTAGTACATATGAATTTACCGAGACTTGAGGGATGCATTGTTTGAATCACCTTTCATTGATACTAAATGTTTATTGTGATCTAGAGTGGTGGGCTGTTTATGGGACCAACGCTGAGCTTTAGGGGGAAAAAACCAATGAGTCCAACTTGCCAATAAATCTCAGAAACAGTGTTTGAACTATGAAACTTATGGTGAGTTCACTGGCTCAAGTCAAAATAATTCTTGCTCTGTTGCAGTTAATTGTGGGAGTGGCTGCATTCAAACAGTGTAGCCTAAGAAGATGCTCACATTCTGAAGAAAACAGATTTAGGTGAAAGCTGCCCTGACAGCAGCACGTGCACACTGAGACAGGTGGCTTCAAGTATTTTAACTCGTGTGATTGAAATAGCCGTAGGATTTAGCCAAGCTTTGTTTTCACTTAAAGTATTTCTCAGAATATCCGAAAAGAGATGACAGATGAACAGCATAGGTGATCACAGAACACGGAGGAGGAAAAGCCATGATTCTGCTGTGCGTGTTTTACCAGAACTGTTGAATCACACAGATTATTTTGTACTATGTCCTTAAGAAGTCCAGTAATTATATTTAATTATATTGTCAAGCTTTTATAATTCAGGTTAAAATGACAGTTTATACACATTACCATGATGGAAAGTAGTTAGATTCCACTTATATTTATTATCCTTTTTCATATCTAGAAAGAAAACAAAGAAACTATTTCACTGTGGAATAGTTTTCTAAATTTCCCTAGAATTTATGAGTGCACAATCGTTCAAATATATTCAAGTTCATATAATGCCTTTTTTAACCCTGGATATTTAAAATTAGTGAGGGACAGATGAAGAGAAATAAGTCTCCAAAATTTTACAGAGTAAACTGAACAGGCTTGCTTTATGGATTCAACAAATTTAAAACAAATTCAACAAAGATTTAAACAAATTCTAATGACTAGACCCATTGTACTGAATCAAGCTAAGACTGGAAGGACAGAATGGATGGAATATTATCTGATTAAAAAAAAGAAAGAGAAACTCCATAGCAACAGGACAATAAATTATGTAGAAATGCAGTTTTAAAACTATTTCTATCTTCAATTATCTTATTTTCATAGGATTCTTATGATTTATAATTCAAGAACCAGAAAATGTCATTGACAAAATCTTTCATTCAACAAACATTGGTTGGGTTCTTATGGTATATCAGGTAACATTCTTCATAATACCAGTCTGTAATTTCTGTCTCTAACCATTCCATAGTTTCATAAGAAGAAAATATAAACCAAAGTCAAAACAAAACATAAGTAGTACCAACAGACACATGCATAAAGTATTAAGGAGAAGACTATGTACAGAGTTCATTCTAAAATAAGTGTTATTTTTATCATTGGCTAGTAGAAATTAATTTTTGTTGTGATTGTTCCCTCATGACTCAGTTTGTCTTCACAAACGTGTCCATGTACCTTGCACCCCAGGTCATTGACCATAAGCAACTGTGCAATCACAGCAAAGCGCTGCCTATTGCCCTGTGCTCCAACCCTCCCTGACTCCCTCCACTGCCGCCAGCTCCTCTTACTGTGCATTTCCATTTCTCTATTGAGTAGGTCAAGAATCATCATTTTCCTTTGGAATCTCACCTCCTGTCTTTCTGAGGAAGAGCTGATGCTCCTATTTTAGTAGTACTACTCTATTGTAATGACAATCCCAAAACAGATTTCAGTGACTCACATAGCTTTTTCTAAGAAACACAAACCGCCAGACATTCTAATATGGATAAATGCCACTACAGCGGGACTGACAGACGAGTCTGTGCTGCAGAATAAAATACATTCAAGGAACTACCCCTGAGCCAGCAGTTAGTAATCAACTTCTTGCTAAGGACTGAATGTTTGTGCTCTACCACCAAATGCAAATGTTAAAGCTCTAAGTCTCCGTGTTTGAAGATGATGTCTTTAAAACAGCGGTTGAGAAGAAATGCAGTCATAAAGCTGGTGGCACTAACATGATAGGGTTAGTGTTCTCAAAGGAAGAGGCACCAATATGCCTTTCGTCACCTCCTCCTCCTCCTCCCCACCATTCTTCAGTGACTTCCAAGAAAGCGTCATATGAGGACATAGAAAGAACCCAGCAAGGGAGGAATGTTCTTCAAGAACAGACCTTACTAGATGTTGATGTGGGGTTTCATCTTCCAGAACTAGGAGAAAATAAAACTTCTTTTCTTGAAGTCATTTAGTCTATAATATTTTGTTCTGGTAGCCTGAGTAAACTAACCAATTGCTGCAAGTAGTCACTATACAAATAATGAAATAGTTACTTTTGGTGTGGAAAAGTGAACTTCATTTTTGTGGATATGTTATTTTTTTCTGCTATGTCATATATTACAATAAATTATGTGTACATTAAATGCCAACTTTATATGGTTCTATATGGATGTATGTTATATTTGTATATGTATATGTATGCACACTTTTCCCAGATGATATTTTAAACATTAATTACTGAAAAGTAGGGGCTGAAGGGATGTCTCAGCAGTTAAGAGCACAGGCTGCCCTTGCAGATGACTCAGGTTCAGTTCGCAGTACCCACATAGCAGCTAACAACCATCTTGTAACTTCAGTTTCAGGGGATCTGTTGTCCTTCTCTGGCCTCTGTGGACATTGCACACATACGTGCATTTACATGCAGGCAAGACACTTAAATACAGGAAAGGATTTTTTTTTAACATTACTGAAAAGTAGTTAAAATACAACATGTGTGGGAATAAAGCACCAACCAGACCTGTACTGGGTTACACGATCATATTCAAACTCATGAAATATTACACGTTTCCTAAAACAGGGTCAAAATCACTCCACTTCTCTCTCTTACACTACAATATCTGAAACTAAACTTCTATAAATATTCCATTTAACTTTTATAATCTGGTAAAATATGCTTATGAAAATCTAATTAATATATTTTTATAAGATGATAAAATTTTAAAAAGCTGAAGATTGCTAATGTAGGATATATTTAATGGAACAAGATCCACTAAACAATCATCCATGGAAGAAAGTAAAAGTGGGTGTTAGAAGCCTGGCATTTCTCCAGCTTGTTTCCTTGTCTTCTGGTGACTGCTGCTTGCTTTGCATAAGGCATAAGCATGGGATGTTTACATCTTACTGTGTCAGGGTCTCCATTTTCATTCACTGACCCACTGATATCACCACAGGTCCAAAATTAGGAATCAATATGCTCTGCTGCCATTGTGCTTTTTGGTTAATCTTATGATTTGTACCTGAATGATTCTTGCCTACTAATTTTCTACTGTGTCAAAGCTCACTTTTATATGCAATACACAGAATTCACAGATATTTCTTAGAACTTTCAACTTGATGTCTTCATTTGAAAACCTAATAAACATTTCAGATTCAAATGTATGTATCTGGATTTGGATGTCTCCTCTGTCCCCGCTAAGGCTTTTTTTCCAGGAACTGCCCCCTGACCCCGTGTTAATTAATGAAAGCTGTAATGACAATGATATGATTAGAGTTAGTTATTCAGGGGAAAAAATTACAATCAACTTCAGTTCTTTTCCAGACATTCCCATTTGATCACTAATATTAAAAATATATATACAATCTAATATTTTCCCATATTGGTTCATTATCCAACATGCTTTTTCCTGCACAATTATAAAAATTATGAAAGTGTTGTGAGTCTTGTTGAGCGATGGCTCACACTTTTGGGTGCTTTTCCAGGCATCTTGTTTTTTCCAGTAGGTTTACCTAGGTTGTAGCTCAACTCCAGCAGATGCAGAGCACCCAGGATCAGTACCTTGCCTCAACAGATGGAAATTCTGCATGTCCACAGTGCCCTGTGGAAACAACTAAGCTCTCTGTGTCAACTGCATTGTGTTGCAGCTTCTTCTCCATCTAACCCTGAGCTCCTTGTCATAACGTGGCTCCTGTTTGTCTTAGTAGATACGGTGAGTGCAAACCTCTGTTTCACAATCTGTTCCCCTGAAAGATGTCACGGGAAACTCCATACTTGGGAATGCAAGAACCCAGAGAGCAATGGTTTGTGTTGGTTTCATTTGCTGCTTTTTCTCAGGCCTTTAGAGCTTGTCCTGGGAAGCTGGAAGCACTCTAAAGAAATGAGTATCCCTTGCCATGTTTTATCTGTTTCTTTAACTTTTTAAAATCCTTCAAAAGATAGCGATCGCCTTCAGTGAAGGGCAGATTTTCTTTTAACTTCTACTGCATAGAACCTAATACATTGTAAATGTCTCATAAGTATTTATTCAAGCAATGAATCAATAAATAAAACTGACAATATGCACAAACTTTAAGTTACAGTGCTTCCTGATGCTTTTTGGTCATTATCATTCTATTGATGTCAGCGAATTTTTATTTTCCAGGAGAAATTTAATATTAATCTTTAAGGCAAAAATGGTAATTAGAATCAGAAAATAAATGTTGGGATTAACTTTTTGTGATTATGCATAATGTTCCTAAATTATTTTTTTGAATACCAACCTGAAACGATGTCCTCCTTGAATTCATCATCATAGTCTTTACTGAATGTGGAGATTTGATTGATTGGAGCATCCTGTATGCAAATGTCTTCAAATAAGCTTTTCCAAATTCTAATGCAGTCTGCTTCTGAGGGGGAGCCGCACTGGCAGTCCCACAGCACTGTTTCCCTCAGTCTCTCTCTCAGAGCCTCGCACAGCAGTCTGCCTCTGAGGGTGCTGCATTCTGCTGTCTCTTTGCCACAAGTTTGTTTAAAGCTCTCGTGGAGTAGATTGCAGTGCTGAGCTTGCCGGCAGACCTGTGCGGCCACCACGCAGTCGTTCTTTCTCTCGGCCATTAAAGATGCGTAGAACTGCTTTGTAACATTTGACTCTGGAGCCAAATCTGAGGACAGTGCTGACTCTTCTGTAAATAAAGTAAAAGAATAACTAAAATAATAAGTTCACTTAGGTATAGCTTTAATGTGTTTTTAAGTATACAGACACATTTTTATAAATATTCTAATATCTTTAAAAAAATCATTGGAAAATTATTCCAAGGGATCTATTTCAAATGATCTGGAAAGTCATTTGGAAAAAATGAGACACAAAACAGTCATTTTTTGCTTGTGAATGTCTATAACATTAGCACTGACTTTCCCTTAGTGACTGTGTCTTCAGCATTTATTTTTGGCGTTTCATTATATTTTGATATTTGGTGTGAACTGTAACTTAAAACATGTAAATTTAGTGCATTGTTTCCATGTAAATACTTATAAATTTGAATTTCCTCCTGGAAATGTGCCTTCACTACACAGTTTCTCAAATGTTTTAATTATTTAAGAAGCTCTTTCAGATTTTTTTAAATCGAATTCCTTTAGTCCCTCATACAACTTTACTTCCACATATATATAGTTTATTCATTACACACACACACATACATGTATACACACACACACACACACACAAAATAAGCTAGGTTAAATTAAAACATACATATATTTACCATTTATATTCTGTTTTCTGTTTTTACACATAGTAAGGTAGAATACTTTTCTCACACGTAAGTAGCAGTTTTCAATCTTTGGAGGCTATTTTACCCTCAGGGAGAATCACATGTTCTACTCCAAATAGATCCAATACACCCACGTTACATGCATTTCTTATCCCGTTACCAGGGTAAGATGTGTCTACATCTAAAACATGTCCCTAACTAATCCCTTCAGCCAGTCTCTGTTCTTGTGCTGCTCTTATTTTTTTTAAGTTAAAAAAAAATTGGTTTTATTACATAAGTGTTCCTCACAGCTTTGTTTTTAATAAATACTTTCACGATATAATCAACTGCATGCTATAAAAGCGTTTATTCACAAGTTGTTATGGTTCCCTCGTAAGCACTATCCAGAGTAGAAGTTCTGTAATGCGTGTTTTGAAGTACTCATTCCTATAGGATCCACACATTTGTCAAATAAGAGCTCACAGTGACTTGCTGTATTAGTCACTTTTCTGTTGCTGTGATAGAAACACTGACCGAAACAACTTATAAAAGGAAGAGTTTATTTGAGCTTATGGGTCCCGGGGAATTACAGCCAGTCTTGGCAGGGAGGCATGGCAGCAGAGGTGGCTGGAGGGGAAGCAGCAGAAGCTAAGCTCTAATCTTCGGCAGACATAGGAAACAAGAGAGCAACTGAAGCTCCTGCAAGGCTTAAGAGCTCTCTAAGCCCACCCCCAGATGTGCTTCCTCCAGCATGACCACACCTTCTAAAACCTCCCAAAACAGTGCCACCATCTGGGAACAAACTGTCTATTTGGAGCCTATGGGGGACATTTTCATTCAAACCCCATCACAATCTCTATAAATCATATTCTTAGATAAGAACATAGACCATGTTTGAACCTTTATTAGCTAGGAAGTCCAGGCATGTATAATGAGAATGTATCTAAATGAGGGCTGTCCTCATATAATTACTTCTTGTTATATGATCATTAAATATTTTCTAATAACGTAAATCTTAAATGTCAGTTTATCATAAAATATATAAGCTATAACTATATATATGAAATAAACCATGTAAATAATCCTAGTAAATGTCTGTCTGACTCTATAATGTCATCTGCTCAATAGTTTTACCTTGCTTTATTTCCATCACGGTTTATGCATTGTCTGCGTATATTTATTGACTATATCTGATGAATTTAAATATATGCATTATATATTTGCTAATAATATGCTGTTTTAGGTACTGCGTTGGAATATTTAGCATATTCAAAAACACCCAAACTGAAAACTGTGTGTTTATTTATGTTGGAAATGTTCTAGTAATGACAAGGAGGATGGGCCTGGAGGTGTTTTCTGTAGTGGTGGTCAAAGGCTTTATGCAGGCGCTGGGGTAGAAATAGAATGGTTCTTATTATTTTCAGTTATCATTTCCTTTTTCGCTCTAAGCTGAACACTGGGTCATCAATCAGTTAGGAGCTCTTTGAAAACACAACCAGCAAATGGTCCACAATGAATACACATGTGAAGCATTTAGGTCCCCTCCTCTGGCTCATCCATTAGAACGGTCTGTTGCCTCATTTGTCCATATTTCACATTGTGATTTAATTAATTTCTATTCCTCGAAAAAATGATTTTAAGCATATGAAATAATTTCACGTTGTCTCTAAATTTGAGTGTGTGTGTTAATTGATTATATACTTTTTTAAATATGATGAAAATGACTATCGAGTTAGAAAAGGCTTTACTATCTTGAAACAAATTGAAAAACCATTTTAATAATAAACATTTGAAATGAGTGCAATTCAGTCTTTCAGCCTAAAACTAGTGAGGGCCCAGCACCTCACCAAACTGGTGTGGTTTCCAGGCCCTACCCTGTTAGCTTCTCATACCCACAACTGTCAACTGCTTTCATTGTGTCCTCTTTCTCTGGCTTTTAGAATCTGACAGCTTATAGTTTATCTTCTTATTTTTAAACCTTCCTTTTTGGCAGGGCATGGTGGTAGAGACTTTTAATCCCAACACTCCACATAGGAGACAAAGGCAGGTGGATTTCTCTGAATTCAAGTCCAGACTGGTCCAAATAGTGAGTTCCAGGCCAACCTGGGCTGCAAAGTGAGACACTGTCTCAAAATACAAACAAACAAACAAACAAACAAACAAACAAAAAACAAAACAAACAAAAAACCCCAAATAAAATGGAAAAGCTGCCTTAGTTAGATTATGAAATTGTTCTGAAATACTATTCTTCTCATTCATATCATATTAAATACCGTATCATATCACATTCGAATGGCCCTTTGCAGTCATGTCTAACTAGTCACCAGATCCTACTGATTGTAACCCATAATTCTTCTTTTACATATAGCTTATAATTTTCCAGACCACTGTGCTAATTTGGAGATATATCACCTCTTATCAGTTTAGACATGTGTGTGGTGGTTTGAATGAGAACATCCCCCAGAGGCTCCAAGTATTTGGACATTTTGTCCCCAGTTGGTGGCACTGTTTTGGGAGGTCTTAGAAGGTGTGGCCATGTTGGAAGAAGCACGTCACTGGGGGCAGTGAGGGAGGCTTAGAGAGTTCTTAAGCGTTGCCAGATCTGGAGTTGCTCTCTTGCTCCTGGGCCTGCTTGAAGATGTAGAGCCTAGCTTCCAGTCCTCCAGCCACCTCTGCCGCCACAATAGACTCTTGCCCCTTTGGAACCGAAAGCTCAAATAACCTCTTCCTTCTATAAGTTGCTTGGTCAATACTTCTATCACAGCAGCAGCAAAGTGACTAACTCAATGTGTGACCTCATTTTCGTTCTTCCGTTCTCTTCTAATCCCTGACAGTCACATTTTTTTGAAAAGCCAATTCTGCATTTCTCTTTTTAAAATGCGCAACAGCTCTTCAGAGCAAAGGTTTGGTTTAAAGTCTAATCTCTTTAGAAAGTTATGTAAGTTCAACTTTCCTTCTTTTATGAGCATCTGTTTTCTTCAGTGTTATCAAGTGATACTTCAACATCTTAATCCAGCAGAGCAAAGGCTTTGTTTCTTCTCTGCTTCATGTCATTTCCTGTGATCAAAACATTCATTTTCTTTTCCCTATGTAATGTGCACAATTCACCTAACCTCTGCCGATTCTCTGAAGCCCTGTAGGCCCAATTATTTCCTCCTCTATGACTCGAGCACTTTTCCTGTATGTTTCTTGTGATATATGCATGCCTATCGTGTAGGAAATAACACATTGCATGGGACTTGACAATTTTCATTTCAATTATGAATTAAGATTACACAAAAACGTTTCCTGATGATATTAGAATGAAAATAGATATCAAAAAAGATAGCTGGGAAATCTCAGATATCTGGAAATTAAATAACAACCTCTAAATAAACTATAAGTAAAAGGAGAGATGGAAAAAGAGGAGGAGAAAATATTTTGAAAGGACTATAATTTAAGAAACAGCACATTAGAATTTGTTATAGCTAAAATAGTACTTGGAAAGAAATTCACAGTATTAAAAGCTTTTTTGCCTGTTTGTGAGGCAGGGTCTCCCTGTGGCCTCTGCTGGCCTGGAACTTGCTGTGTAGACAAGGTTGGCTTCAGTCTCACAGAGATCAGCCCCCCTCTGCCTCCCAAGTGCTGGGATGAAAGCTTTGCACCATTCCACCTGGTTTAGATGCTTTTATAAGGGAAAAAAACCCAAATCAGTCAAATCAGTATTAGCACCCTTAAACTGATGCACCTTCCAGTCCTAACCAGGGAGTTTCCAGTGAACAGCCTTTACCGTAAAGACATGTAGGTGCTCAAGTTGTTGAGAATAAGTGACAGAGGAGTGCTCAGTCATAAACAGGACATTTATACCACTGTCCCTACAGTTCAGGGAACATTTTGGAAGAGGAAACAGAAAGAATTTCAGAGTCAGAAGATGCAGAGGGAGAAGAGTTATGAAATGCTATCAACTAGGCATGCCACGGATACTACTGTTATGATCTCACAGCAGCTGTGGCTGCCTGCACTGGGCCTACACAAGACTGGGTCTATCATTCAGGGATCCCCATCTTCCCTTCTAAACTGCGAGCTAATGATGGATTCTGGGCACGTGTTGTTATTGTCTTCAGTTGTGTAACACTCAACTGAGACTACCACCAGATTCCAATGGAGAGTTCCCAACCAGTGGTCACACAGATGGCCTTGCTTAAACTCAGGGGATCTCCAAAGAAACAAAGAAACAAACAGCAAACAAACATGAATGTTGAAAAGGAACTTCTGTGGTGATTAATAGAGGTGGGAGGGAGGGCTGGGGGAGTTACAGTATCAGAATGCACTTTATAAACTGTCAGAGAATAAATTCAATAACAACAAAAACAAAAGGAAAAGACATAACTGTGAGAACGTGACTTGGAAATAGACAAAGAGGCAGGGATGCAGGAGTTGAGAGGGAGAGATGAGAAGGTGTGGTGAGTGTAATCAGAATGCATTGTTATACAGGCATGAAATTGTCAAAGAGTAGATTTAATCAATAAAAAAGAAAAAGAAATTAGTGGGGCTCTCAAGACCCTAGAAAGTGTTCTAAAACAATGTGAAGACCATATTTTCTTTTACTTTTAAAAACAATATTATTTAGTCTTGGAAAATTCCATACATATATACAATGTATTTTGAGCACGTCCACTCCCTACTTCCCCTGAGAGTCACCAAATCATCCCACTCAAGACTTCACATCCTCTTTATTATTGTCACTAACCCACTGAGTCCAGTTAGTGCCACCCATATGCAAATGCATGTGGGACCATCCAGTGGGGTATGGACAACCTACTGACAGCCACATAACTAAAGAAAAGTAACTGCTTCCTTCTGCAGGCATCAACTTCCTTTAGCTCCTCAACAGGGGCAAGGCCTCTGGAGCACATCCCCAGCTGTGTTGGAACTTTGACTTGCTTGACTTTGTGCAGGTCTTGTGCAATCACCCACAGCTGCCGTGAATTGTGTGTGCCATATCCAGAACACAGCATTTCACAGCTCTCCTCCCCATCCTCCTGCTCTTAATTCTTTCTACTGATTCTTCCTCAATGTTCACTGAGCCTTGAATGGGGAGAGTTTGATAAAAAGAATTCATCCACAGCTAAGCACTCACAGTCACTTTTATTTTTTATTGCTAAAGAAAATAAATAAAAACTGAAGGCCAAGTTAAAGTCAAATGAAACTTCCCTAAATTAAGGGAAAAAATATATATTGAGAGGACAAAAATTTACAAATTTTTGACATCTAAATGCAAACAAAATCATCATTGTAACTCCTACAGACGTTAAAAAGTGAACTAAAAAATATCAGGAGCAGCATACCAAGTAATGGAAGTAAGAAGGAAAGGAACTAACAAAATGAAAATCTAACATAAACACAGCAAATCGAAAATACCCTATAAAAGCTCACACATAAAATGGAAACCAGGCTAACCCTATAAGAATTCTTCATGCTGAATTTATATTTAAAATTTTTCAGTGATGAATAACCCAGATATAGTTACTGTTCAAGTAAATCAATAATTGAAGGTAGAGATGATATCAATTCTTTCTATACTATTTTAGAATATAGAAGAGAATAACCAATAACCTGCATGAACACATGCCAATAATATGCATGAACATAGATTTATCAACAAAATATTAGTAACTATACAGTGATTGTACAAAAATAAATGCAATATGATTGGGCATGATCTAGAGTTGGAATAAAGAGCTGGACCAACAAATATTACCTGTCTTATTGATGCAATTTTTTCCCAGAAGTTTGCCCACTGTACATTGGAGGTCATTGATGCAAAGACACTCTTGGAAATGGAAATCACTTTCCACCAAAGACTGGATACTCAGGTCACAACGTGATGAATTTTTTATTGTGCAGAAGTCACCTAGATTTCACAGTCACATATAATATCACAGATATAAATCTGAATATAAAATTTGAGTTCTCTTCTCCAAAGGAGGGTGAACCTAGCAACCTAAGTAATTAATGAGTTTAGCAAGATTATCTGGGTTTGTTAGAGGATGATCATCAGTGACTTGTTAAGCAAAATATTTATTTTTAATGTGTTTTACTCACAGAATGTTCTCCAAAACACTTTAAAGCTTTCTGTGTGTGTGTGTGTGTGTGTGTGTGTGTGTGTGTGTGTGTGTTTTACCAACTTTCTCTATACAAAGAATGCCAGTGCTTGCTGCTTAGTGATATTCAAACTGTCACTATATCCAGTGTTGTCACTTTAACTATTTTGTTTGTTATTCTCTTATTATTTTATTGTGCTTGTAACTCTAAAAATATATTAAAAGACACGTAGGTGGCTCTAAATTTATTATGAAAAAATAAAATGCTATTGACACTTAGAAACATTTGATAAACACTTGAAAAACTAATTGAATTATTTCATTTGTGCATTTGGGGATATTTCTACTCAGCTTCATGTGTGAAATAATTTTGCAAATTTTATTGCAATTTACTGCAAATGACTTGGTATTTATATACTAACATACATAAATAAATTTTAACCCATGACACACTAAGTATAATCTTTTAACATCACACATCTTAATTCCCTATAAAATATAGTCAGGCATTTCATTGTCAAAACAAATAAGATAATTTTTTTCTGACATTCTGTGGCCTCAACTTAGAATGTTATTTTGAGAAAATGATGCTCTTGAAATTCTATTTTCTAGATAGCAATATGAACATTAGACTAGATTGCTGTGACTTTCCTTCAGGTGTGATAACTCAGAGAAGAAAGGGCCTTCTGCAACATCCTGTGGAATTCTTTGAGGCGTGTTGCTGGGTAGAGGCCTTCTGGTGGAAACTTCAAGATTCCTTAGCAGTATATTACCAAATGTTTGTGGAAGGATGCAAAAACAGAATATGCCATTGGGTAAGTTTTTCTTTTCCCTTTCCGATATCTCTTATTAAACTTTCCACAAAATTCATTAAATTTTTAGATTATTATTAGTACAAACATAATTAAATTTATTGTAATGTCAGAATATTTTTCAGACAATTTTGGCATGACAATATTAAGGGAACACTTTGCTATACAATCAGTTTATTATAATAGTCTTTTAGTGGTCATTTAATGCTGTCATTTAATATTAACTCAGCTACTAGAATATTCAGTTGACTTTTTGTTATTTTATCAGAACTGTCTACTGTAATCCTCAAATTTCCCTTCAAATGTTTGTAAAATAGAATAAATTAAAAACAGAAATTGTTTTAAACTGTCCTTGATACAGTAGTAATGGGAAATAATATATATGTTGAAAGAATATAATGCATATTATAAATATTCTAATAAAACTTGCTATCGTAAATATTTTTCTGCTTCATCACTGATAAATAATTAACATGCAAGTAAAATGATACTTTATTTGTAAGATTTTAGCTATATGCTGAGAAGAAAACACGTAATTGTAGCATTTTTGGTGAGAGAAACAAGAAACTAATCTGAAATGTTGAGAAAGCTACCATCAGTATCAATTAGTGTATAAGGGCCCTGTAATAACTAAAAGTACACCAGTATAAGCAAATTCACTTGTGTGTGAAGATGAGTCATTTGGTTACCAAGGTTAAGATTCCCAGGATTTTATAAGAAAATGTAAATCCTTGTTTTTACCTTGGTGAAAAGAAGTCACTGGGTTCACTTAGCACTGCACTTTACCTGGACCACTGCAGGCGTCCTCCATCGCTCTCCACAGCTGCGCGCACCCATAGGCATCCCCAAAGCACTGCTGTGTCAAATATGCACAGTCCTTCGTTTGGGAAGTGGAGTCATTTTCTGAGCTTACCCTCACAGCTTGAACAAAGCAACAGCAGTAACAAGAAAACAATAACATTTTCTCAGTGTTGCAGTTTGGCATTTTCCTCAAATCTAAGTCATTAATAGCAAATGGCAGAATTATGACCAATAAAATGTGGTAAAATTATTATAATTATTATAAAACCAAAATGAAATGAATCTTACCCTCTCCTCTCTACACATCTGTATTTCTCCTATGTGATTTTTTTTCTTTGACTAGGAAATTTATGTTAATTGTTTTAATTATCATGCAACAAAATGAATGGGTTTCACTGGGACATTGCCATACATACATGTCATTATGCTCTACACTTATCCCCCGCCCATGCCTCCTCCTACTGCTCAGCTTCTTCTTCTATCCACATAGTCTCTCCATTGAAAAGATGTTCAACATCCTTAGGTGTCGGGAGCCATAGGCCCCTACCCCAGGAAATAGCAAGACGTGATTCCTGACAAAGCTGTTTTTCAGACATCAAGGCTGGCCTGGTTTGAGATTAACCAGATGACTATACTTGAAAGCCTCTCACAAACATGTTGTTCTAACCTGGGCACTTACCGCTTGAGAGACTCCCTCATTTCTCATGTAATTGCTAAGAAACTTTGGTATTACTCTGTAATCATACAAGTGTAACCTCTTAATTGATTTATAACTTGCTATATAGAATTGTGGTGTTACTATGGAACTTACTCTGTGATCAATTGGTGTGGTGTTATTGTGATAATCATTCTGTTAATTGAATTGCTCTACTTCAATGGAATTGTCCCTGCCAACTTCCCCCTCTCCTCACTATAAAAACTTTGTGTAGATGTTCATTAAATGAGACTTGATCAGAAAGCCTGTCTTGTCTCCATTCTTCGCATCTCTTGTCCCTTTCCGTCCCCTCTCCTCCCTCCAGAAACCCACGTTGACTGTCCTGCGGGTCGGGACATTCCTTAAGTAAAGATATATTCCCAGTAACCTGATATCAATTATAGCCACATTCTTTTTTTTTTCATTTCAAGAGCTAGATTTCAGGAATACCTTATGTGCTCAGAGCACTTTGTGTAATTCTGGTAATAGTTCTGGACAGCATTGTTTCATCATATTCTCCTCTATGTTCTTTCAGAGTCCCTCCTGAGACACATACATATTTTAAATAAACAAACAGATCCAGCTGAATTATATCTGTAAAGATATTCATATATTGTGTGGAAAGATGTACAAAGGAACAGTGGTATTTTGAGAAATACTTCCCAAGAAGGTCTTTGGACCCGAGAAAATTCCTGTTACAGCCTTTTCCTACTGGAACCTAATCAGGGAATTAATCGATTCAAATGAATCCTCCAACGAGGCTGCCATAAAGCAAACTTCGGGCCTCCTACAAGGTCCCCCTCAGGAGCCTCCTGGGGATAAAGTAATTTCCCCTAAGGAGATAGACCTTATCTCCCTTGACAGTGACGAAGAAACGTCACCCAAGACATGTTCTGAGATTTCAAATCCCAAACATGTTAAATCAGAGCCTAACTCTAAATCCAGCACTGATGTCACGACACCCCAGTCTGGCACTGCGCCCACGGCTCCTTCTGAGGCGCACTCTCTGCCTCCTCCTTACCCTCTCCCATTAGTTTTACCTGCCCTCGAGGCATTCTCCACTTCTCCCCTTGTTACCCAATTAAGAAATGAAGTGGCTCTATTAAAAGAACAGCTAGCCCTAGAACGACAAAAGCAAGAACTGCTTGCAGATCTTCAAGACCTATCAGTTAAAAGTAAACACTCCTTGCAAGGTGCGGCTTTCCCTACCCTGCAGCGCTCTGTTTTCACACGGCAACATCGCCCCTTTAAACTCTCAGAGATGAAAGAGTTAAAAGCTGCTGTAGCCCAGTGCTGCCCAACTTTAATATGCTAATGGGCAAGGGAGTCCTCTGGGTCAGTTAAAAGAAACTGTAAAAAAAACCAGCTAAAAAAAAATCAACAAGCCAAAAATGGATGGGATTTTAATATGTTCAATGCTAGGCTGGTGTACCTTGTGAGTTTGAGGTCACCTGGGTTACAGGCAGACTGTGTCTCAAAAATATGATGCCCCCAACATTCCTATTTTCTAATTTATAAAGGACATTATAAAAACTTATAACAATAGTTGACTCAGATTTAAAAAAATGTATTTTTGTTTAGTGCACTAGCAATGCTTCATTACTGCCAATTGTTCCATGAGTAATTCATGGTATACAATATTTTATCTCTGGAAAGGAGCCTTCCCTTTGACATTTAAAATATGATTCTTGTGTTCTGTGTTCACTGACTGTGTCTGAAACTGAGACATCCAGTAAAAGTCTATGTAAGGTCTCGGTTTCTATAATATAATAAAAAGCCTATA